CAGAGAAGCCATTGAAATACACAAGCATGTGGACAATTTCAACAGAAAGGAGGAAACCATGAAAATGTATTTATTTATATACCGCTTTTCTCAGCCCTCCGACGAAAATGAACAAAATCTAGCTACCCATATTAAAAAACTCTAAAATTAAAACAGCACAGGGAAAACAATCAGGGACATCTAATCACCTCTCAACAAAAGATTTCTCCAGGCACTGTCAGGCTATCAAATGCTAATCAAGGTGGTCAGTTGAAACATTCACACCTAGCTCCAGCAGACAAGAGTCCTTTGTCCCACCCTGGTCATTCCACAGATATATAAACCCTTTTTTCTAGTTCCAACAGACCTCACTACGTCTGAGGATGCTTGCCATAGATGCAGGCGAAACGTCAGGAGAGAATGCCTCTAGACCATGGCCATATATCCTGAAAAAACCTACAACAACCCAGCCTGGCTGTTGTTTGCCTGGAGGGAACCTCTGTTTGGGAAGTGTTAACTGGTTAACAAGGGTCCCCCATCCCCCCCGGACATTATTCCACAGATTCCATACACACACTCCACTTGCTTCAATGCCAACCTCTGAAGATGCCATTAGCCACAGATGCAGCAAAACTTCAGAAGAGAATGCTGCTGGAACATAGCCATGCAGCCCAGAAAACTCACAGCAATCCAGTGATTCCAGCCATTAAAGCCTTTGATGACACGTTGAAGGCAGATCTGTTGGGATGCATGACAATAGGACACATAGAAGTTCAATTACCAGGAACGTTGGCCACGGTAGTCCACACTCTGGTTACATCCCGTTTAGACTACTGCAACGCTCTCTATGTGGGGTTGCCTTTGAAGACGGCTCGGAAGCTTCAACTAGTCCAACGCTCGGCAGCCATGATACTAACAGGAGCGGAGCACAGGGAGCATACAACTCCCTTGCTGCACCAGCTCCACTGGCTGCCGATTTGCTACCAGGTTCAATTCAAAGTGCTGGCGTTGGTTACCTATCCGAACGTATCTCTGCCTATCAGCCCGCCAGGACCCTAAGATCTTCTGGGGAGGCCCTGCTCTCTATCCCGCCTGCTTCACAGGTGCGGCTGGCGGGGACGAGAGACAGGGCCTTTTCTGTGGTGGCCCCTCGGCTGTGGAACGCCCTTCCCATGGAGGTAAGATCAGCCCCCTTGCTAATGGTGTTCCGAAGGAGATTAAAAACTTGGATGTTTGAACAGGCATTTGGTTAATCAGTGCAATGAATGTGACGATTACAGGAATGGAAATATGGACGACGAATTTGGATCATATCTATCTATATCTATGGCTGGATGGCTCTTTATCAGGAGGGCTCTGTTTACATTTTCTTGCCCTGGTGAAGGGAGTTGGACTGGGTGGCCTTAAGTATTTTCTGATGGTCATGGGGGTTCTGTGTGGGAAGTTTGCCTCATTTCTGTCATTGGTGGGGTTCGGAATGCTCTTTGATTGTAGGTGAACTATAAATCCCAGTAAGTACAACTCGCTAATGTCAAGGTCTGTTTCCCTCAAACTCCATCTGTACTCATATTTGGGCATATGGAATATTCATGCCAAGTTTGGTCCAGATCCATCATTGTTTGAGTCCACGGTGCTCTCTGGATGTAGGTGAACTACAACTCCCAAACTCAAGATCAATGCCCACCAAACCCTTCCAGTATTTTCTGTTGGTCATGGGAGTTCTGTGTGCCAAGTTTGGTTCATCATTGGTGGAGTTCAGAATGCTCTTTGATTGTAGGTGAACTATAAATCCCAGTAACTACAACTCCCAAATGTCAAGGTCTATTTTCCCCAAACTCCACCACTGTTCACATTTGGGCATACTGAGCATTTGTGCCAAGTTTGGTCCTGATCCATCATTGTTTGAGTCCACAGTGCTCTCTGGATGTACGTGAACTACAACTCCCAAACTCAAGGTCAATGCCCACCAAACCCTTCCAGGGAGTTCTGTGTGCCAAGATTGGTTCAATTCCATGATTGGTGGAGTTCAGAATGCTCTTTGATTGTAGGTGAACTATAAATCCCAGCAACTACAACTCCCAAATGAAAAATCATTTTTTTTGAGTGAAGGACATACATTGGGTTGTTAGGTGTCTTGTGTCCAAATTTGGTGTCAATTCCCTCAGTGGTTTTTGAGTTTTTGTATTTATTTATACCCTGCTTTCTCTCCCCTAAGGGCACTCCCATTATATTATTATTATTATTATTATTATTATTATTATTATATTCATTTATACTCAGCTTTATCTCCCCAAAGGGCACTACCGTTATTGTTGTTGTTGTTGTTGTTATTATGAGTCGCCTTCGGGCTGATATGAGAGGGATACATATGTTATGAATAAATAAATATTTTTTATTATCAATATATTTATACCCTGCTTTCTCTCCCCAAAGGGCATTTCCTATATTATTATTATTACTACTACTACTATAATATTTATTCATGCTTTATCTCCCCAAAGGGGTTTAATATTATTATATT